TGAAGGATATTTAACTTTGCCTTTGAACCACCCCTTACCCCTAAATCAGCCTGTGGCTAGATGGAGGAAAGAAAAGTGGTGCCTTTCTGTGGGTTGCTGAGCCGCCAATGCTGTCGGAAATTTTCTCCCCAAGGGGGGAGAGGTATGACCTTGAAATCCAAAGGTGTCTTCCTGCAGATGGTGCCAGCCTTCCAACTCCGTTTCTCCTTTCCTAAGACCTCACTAGATCCCAGGTGTCCTCATGGTCAAGGCTTTGAGGCAGTCCTACTTTCTTTCACTGTCCCACGCCGTTCCACTTCTCTTGTCCTAATTTACAGTGTCCCTAGATGTTTAGTGTAGTGCCCAGAATCCTAGGTGGCTGCAGCCTGTTCCCCAGAGAGCTAGTCCTAGCCCTCGTATGCATCTGAGAGAAAAAAAGCCAAGTCCCAAATCCATGGCAGGCAGCGCCGCGCAGAGAGTGGATCTCAGCGGTCAGCGTCCTGAGGCAGGACCAGGACGCGCGTGAGAGCAGTGAACCAGCCCCGGGGCTGACCCAGCCAGCATCCGCATCCGCCGTCAGGCTGGGGCGGAGAAATTCCATCATCTTGCTGCCAGCCAGGATAACTTGGCTCCTTGACCCTGGGAAGGAGCAGCGGAGTCCCTCCGGCAATCCTCCTGGGGGCAAAGCAGAGAAGCTGCTTGCAGGAGTCCCTTCCCAGCTCACTCCTCGAGAGGGAAGTTCAGGGCCACGACTCCCCATCCTGTGCCCACCTGGACACCCAGGCAATTTACAAGGAGAGAGGTAGGGAGGGCAGGTGGACAACAAGCTGCTCTTGGTCCCCTTCCCAGTTGGCGCTCCTTCCGGTCCCCTTACCGCTCCCCCTTTCCTGGGGAGAAGGATTGGACTCATCCACGATCACTGCCCCTTGGTAGAAGGGCCCCCTTCCCCCTCAGTGTCAGTGGGGTAGAATCAATACCCACGGTACTGGGGCTAAAGAGGGAGGGCATTGGGAGTGGGGGGTGGGGTGGGGGGGGAGTCTAGATGGGCCTCTCCCCCCAGAAGGGTTTGGGTGCTAATAGCTCCTGTAAGGGAGCTTGCTACCCAACTGCTGGGGGGTACAGGTCTCCTCTGCCTGCCCCCTGGACTCATGCACTTACCCCACTCCACCTGTTGCTGGGGTCACCTCATTTCTGCACATCACTTTGGGGTGCGGAGGGAGAACCACAAACCCCTCCAAGCCTCTCTTCGTGGTTCCAGCGAGGCAGTCATCCTTCATTTCTCTTTTTCCAGCTTTCGGGAAGCAGTTAGGGAATGTATGATGAAGCAGAAATGAGCCGTCAGGATATTTTAATGGCTTATATGTCACGTTGGTGCATGTGGCTTTGAACTGGAGCCTCTTTCGTTTCCTGCAGAGAGCGCAGCAAATCCCAATTGATAACTTCTACAATCCACAACTTTTTTTTATCCCCTCCCCCTACATTCACTCTTACGCTGTATATTTGGACGCGTTTCCTAAAAAATTCTTGTCAAAGTCCCTGGACTGGAGAGAAGAAGACTTTTCTTTTTTGAAGAATTATTTTTGCTCTCCCCCTTTTTAATGGCTACCCTCCCCCCTCATGTTCCCTCCTTGTTTTATTTTTTGTTGTTGTTGTGTTTTTTTGTTTGTTTGTTTGTTTTTTGTTTTTTTGGAAAGGCAAGAGAAATGGGTTCAATATTTGTTCTCCCTAGGATAGCAGTTTAGCCTCTAGAGAAAAGTTGCAGGCAAGGTTTTTATAGCTGCGTTGGAGCCAGGTCCAAACTCCCCTTATAGACAGTAGAAAACCTTTTGTTCAAAAAAGATATATCAGAGCCACTCAAAGTGTATACTTTATTTTTTTAAAAACCATTTCTTAAGCTGATCCCTTTCTTTCCATTTCTCATCCAGGTCAAGTCAAAGTTGTTACTGGGCTGCTGCACTCAGACTTGTTGCTGGGGACAGTATATTTGTTTTTTGTTTTTTGTTTTTTTTTTCTCTCTCTCTCTCAAATTTCTATTTCCCAGCCCAAGCACAAATGCTCCGCCAGGTCTTTTTAGATACTGGGAAACCATCCCAGTTACACAAGTCCGGTTTTGAGAGAGGAGAGTGCAGGAAAAGGGCAACTCAGTTTGCCAACCCCAGGAGAAAGTGCTGATCCTGTCTTCCTTCAGCTTATGGAGACTGGGGCAAAACAAATTCATTTTCATTTTCCTCTCTCCCAAGCACTGGAGAGTTTCCTAGCTGGGCTGCCTGTGAAAGGATGAGTTGAGGTTTCTTTGTTTGGAAAAAGAGTTTAGGGCTGATTCAGCTGCAAATAAGCCAAATGAAGTTAGAAACAAAGGGCAAATTGAAAGATTCCGACTCTTGGCTTTTTGTGTTTTCCTTACTAGAAAATAATTAGACCTAATGAATATGCAGACGTTTGGGCTAAATCCTTAGCCCAGGCTGCTGGGTTTTAAACAGAGCTTCGGAGAAATGCAACCTTTATCTCCCCCACCCCCGAATCCGTGTGCATTTTTTTGAAATGCATAAATGTTACTGGCCTTAATTGATTGAGTCACAGGGATTTTTTTCCTACTTTTAAGTGCCATACTCTTCTACCTTTCAACAATCATTTTAATATATGGTCAATGGCTCTTTGTGGACAGGACAAAAAGCAACTACGGGCAGTTGTTGAATAGACTTTGCGCTGGGCAAAGACAGGTTAATCGAGGGCCGTATCGCGAAAACAAGCGAGTGTTGTATGTTTGCACTGAATCCAAATGTCTGCATTTTCCTAACTAAATCAAAGGGAGTGTTATTTCTTTTTCTGCTCACTCATCTGAAGGTAAGTAAATTTTCTCTGGCGATCAAAAGCCTGGTCGGCAACAAAGACTGCGCCCGTTTTTTCCACCGTCCTGGTGTGGCGAGTTGCGGAATTTCAATAACTGTGACAAGGGTGACTGATTTGTGAAGTCAAAAAGGTTTGAATGTCACAAAATTTACATTGGTTCTATCTATCGGGGATTTAAATACCAAAAAAGTATTTGGGGATTTCTAGGGAGCTTTGGACAGTTTTGAAGAACAATGGCACATTGGGAAATTTACAGTTTTACCTGAATGAAAGGGGCTCCGGTTGGAAACAGTAGTGCAGGAGGGGGTCATGGGGGCAGACCAGGGAAACTAGGGAAAAGGGAGAAAAGAGAATAATAACACGGGGGGGGGGGGATAAAACTCAGCAACAATGTTTCCAATTTGCTATTATAAAAACCCCAAACCTCAATAAACTAGAAAGTTAAGAGCTCTCATCCACCCATGTTTATTTGAGGGAGTGGGGGGGGGGGTGAGCGAGGCAGGAAACCTGATGGATTTGATAAAAGTAAGAAAGCTGAGGGAATCGGTTATCCTGATATTTTGTAAAGAGAGAGTAGAGTGTCCATGTGCTCCCGGGATCTTAAATTATAAACAGGGCAGGGGGGGGGGGCGGAGGGGAGAACAAGGCAAGAGGAAAGAAAACTTCAAAAAGAGCAAATAACAAAAGCCTCCTTTGCTGCCCTTGAAGGGAGGGAAGATGGGGGAAAGAAAAGAAAGTTGCTGAATCCGAACATTCTAGAAGTGCCTTAGCTGTGTTTACCAGCCCCAGCCGGGTCTCCTGCTCTCCCACACACCCGAAGTCGCTAATCGCTCAGCTAAGAGCAGGTTTGAAAAAGGACAAGACTGAGAAAAAGAGATTAGCAATAGAAATAGAGATGGAGATGGAGATAGAGATAGAGATAGAGCTAAAGATAGAAAGGGAGAGACAGAGAGGGAGAGAGAGAGAGAGAGAGAGAGAGAGAGAGAGAGAGAGAGAGAGAGAGAGAGAGAGAGAAGAATGGGAGAGGAAGAGCAAGAAAGAATCAGGTTTAAAAATGTATATGACTGCGAGAAGAAAAAGGAATCATGCCCCCCCCCCCCAATTTTTTTTCTTTTTCCATGAGAAGAGGGGAAAATGTTGAAGAAAAAAAAAGTTGCTTCTCTTGGCAGCCGGGGTTGTCAAAAGGGGATGTCAAGCGCTTTACAATACCTGGGATTGATGAGGCGGGAGGGCCAATGAACAGCGCGCGGCGCCTAGGCGCGCCCTCAGTTGACACGGCGGCTGCGGGCGGGGTGAGTGAGGACGAACCAATGGGAGCCGGCGTTAGCCGCACGTGACACCTCCCCCTGCTTCCATTCATCAGGGAGGGGCGGGGGGGGGGGGGGAGAGACGGTGTCGTCCTTTCAATTCATTTATCTGCAGGAATGATTGCTGCTATCAGTCTCGCGCTCACCGCCCGGCTGAGGAGGTGAAAGTTTCTCCCCAGGAAGATAAACCGCAAAAGACAATATTGTGCATGATTTGCGCCTTTTCTTTGGCTTTTTCTTTCTTTTTTGCTCTCCGCTTATTATTATTATTATTATTATTATTATTATTATTATTATTACAGAAAGCAGAGGGGGAAAAGGGAGAGTGAAGGAGCAAGAAGGCGAGCCTGAGAAAAAAGAGAGCAAGGACGAGGGTCTAGTGGAGAAGTGAGGAGGGGCATACGGCGCGAGGCGGAGAGTGAGCAGTTGCGGCTCCTGTGCTCACATTCCTCTATGCTACAAATCCCGGAGGAAGTTTGTGTGTGTGTGTGTGTGTGTGTGTGTTTTGGGTGGGGGGGAGTGGGCTGAGATGCTCCATGGCTTTCCCTGGGCAGCCTTGACTCGGGGTCCTCTCGACAGAGACTGAGCGGCGAGAAAGAGCGAGCCCGGCCGGCGGGATCTGCTCCGAGGGCGCCGGAGCCCGCCTTGCCCATTGCCGGCAGCCGTCTGGCTTATCCGAGCTTGGCCAGGCGGGCTCCCCAGCGCGCGGAGCGGCTGCCTGCGGGCTAGGACTTCGAGAGGTGGGTGGACTCTCCCTCCCTCCACATCTTCTTCCTCCTTTTTCTCCGCCTCCCATTCCTCCTCCTCCTCCTCCTAATTTTCCCTCCTCTGTAGGCAAGGGTGGGGGGGTGGGGGAGGCCGGAACTCGCCCGGAGCAGCCACGATGCTCCTGGACGCCGGCCCCCAGTACCCCGCGATCGGCGTGACCACCTTTGGCACGTCCCGCCACCACTCCGCGGGCGACGTGTCCGAACGCGACGTTGGCCTGGGCATCAACCCGTTCGCCGACGGCATGGGAGCCTTCAAGCTCAACCCCAGCTCTCACGAGCTGGCCTCCGCGGGCCAGACAGCTTTCACGTCTCAGGCTCCTGGCTATGCGGCTGCCGCGGCCCTTGGCCATCACCACCACCCGGGCCACGTCGGCTCCTATTCCAGCGCAGCCTTCAACTCCACTCGGGACTTTCTGTTCCGCAACCGGGGCTTTGGAGACGCGGCGGCGGCAGCCAGCGCTCAGCACAGCCTCTTCGCTGCTTCGGCAGGGGGTTTCGGGGGCCCACACGGCCACACGGACGCTGCGGGCCACCTCCTCTTCCCTGGTCTTCACGAGCAGGCGGCGGGCCACGCATCGCCCAATGTGGTCAATGGGCAGATGAGGCTGGGCTTCTCAGGGGACATGTACCCGCGACCCGAGCAGTACGGCCAGGTGACAAGCCCACGTTCGGAGCACTATGCCGCGCCTCAGCTTCATGGCTACGGACCCATGAACGTGAACATGGCCGCGCATCACGGTGCTGGAGCCTTCTTCCGCTACATGCGCCAACCCATCAAGCAGGAGCTTATCTGCAAGTGGATTGAGCCAGAGCAGCTGGCCAACCCCAAAAAGTCGTGCAACAAAACTTTCAGCACCATGCATGAGCTGGTTACGCACGTCACCGTGGAGCACGTCGGCGGACCTGAGCAGAGTAACCACATCTGCTTCTGGGAGGAGTGTCCGCGCGAGGGCAAGCCCTTCAAAGCCAAATACAAACTGGTCAACCACATCCGCGTGCACACGGGAGAGAAGCCCTTCCCCTGCCCGTTTCCTGGCTGCGGCAAGGTGTTCGCGCGTTCTGAGAACTTAAAGATCCACAAAAGAACACACACAGGTAGGGAAACCTCTTTCTTTGACCCACTCCCTGTACCCCACTCCCGCTTCATCCTGGGCCTGGGACCGGAAATCCAAATTTCATCGGCCAGGCACAAACTGGGCCTTGGTTAAGTGTGGGCGTCAGGTTCCAGCAAGCAGGCAGCAAAAGTGTACGCTGGTTTTTGGTTTCAGGTTTAGAATTATGAAAAAAGTATAAGACGATCAGATGGGAAGGATCCTAGGATATAGATTTTAAAATGAAGAATACAAAAAGCCGGAGAGCATAGAGACAAACCTGGTTTTGAAAAGCTGAGGTGCGCTCGAAGCAGATAGAGGGGTGGCGGAAATTCCAGCTGCTCTAGCAGCAGACAATCTAAGTCTAAATGTTTGCTTCCCGCCGACATCCTTCTCTAGGCACCTTAGTGAGGACTTTCCCAAAGGATGAACTGATGACATTGGAGGGTCGGATGAAGAAGCACAGAAAGAAATAAAAACAGAAAGACATAAAGGAGGGAGGGAGTGGTGAAAACAAGTAGTCTGACCAGGGGAGGCTTTTTGGAGGTTGCTCATATTTAAAGAACAGAATTTTAGTAGTGACTTGTTTGTGAGTAAGCTTGAGGAGTTGGAGAGTCAGTGGAAGGCAGAGAAGTATTTTTCCCCCCCAGTCAATTAGATTTTATGAGGTGGTTTTCAAAACACTGAATCCCCCCACATTGGCCTTTAAAATAGAGACTGGTCGGAACAGTTAAAAGAAAAGTTGGTGGTGAGCTCATGGTTGTAGTATGGGCCAGGTAAGGCCATTCTGGGCCTCTTGCTCCAACAAAGCAGGGAATCCAGTCTGCTTCCCTATTCTTGTTTTCCCTGGTGATTTCTGAGAACTGCTTTTGGAATTTTGAGTTTATGGCCACAGCCAGGGAAGAATTTGTGGTGCCAAGCTCTCCACTCAGATTACCTTATAAAATGTGACTGAGTGTAGGGTGTGTGGTGGGGAAACTAAAAGGGGGTTGCAGAGCCTCAGGGAAAGGGTGGGGGGAAGAGATAGGAGCAAAACAGCAGGAGAATAAGCCCCCAAAGTGAAAATTAGAAACCTTGAGGCAGGAATTGCCTGCCGCCTTAAGTTGTTTGTATAGCCCCAGGCAGAAAAACCTGCTACTGCTCTGGGATCCAAAAAGAAAAAAATCTAATAGTAATAATAATAATAATAGCAACAACAATAAAATCTGGACCTAATTAGATTAATAGTTAAAATAATTAAAATATTTATAAATCCACTGCATATATGTGACTTCATTGAAGACCCGGGTTTTTGAACTTGCAACCTTTTTTATTTTTTATTTTTTCATTTGTTTACATTTAAAAATACAACCACAGAATTTGTTCTAATCAGACCTTTCTCTTTATCGCCCCTCACACTAGGGGAGAAGCCCTTCAAATGCGAGTTCGAGGGCTGCGACAGACGCTTTGCGAATAGCAGCGACCGCAAGAAGCACATGCATGTGCACACGAGCGACAAGCCCTATCTTTGCAAGATGTGCGACAAGTCCTACACGCACCCCAGCTCGCTGCGCAAACACATGAAGGTAATTGCCAAGCTCCCGACGCCCGCCTTCTAGACGGGAGCCGGCTCTGCTCTTCGGCTGAGTCCTTGGCGAGTGGCAGCCGGGTGGTGGAAGGAGCTGGTGCAGGCTGTGTGGGGCTGGGCAGAGAGTGGAAAAGGGGGCGGGTGACCACCAAACTGTTATAAATTTATTTTTTTAATAAGAAAAGTAAAAAGGAATTTGGCCCAGATAAGGAGTGAGGGCTATGCTAGCTGGGTGATGCTGACGAAGCTGTCGAAATTGGGACTGGAAGCGTTTGCAGAAGAGTTGAGGTCTTGCACGTAGACTTGAGCAAGCAAAGTTCAGCGGCGGGGCAGGGTGCGGGGGGAGAACTGCTGCTGCCGGGCGTGGCAGGGGCAATCGATCCCAAGTGCCCCTGGTGAGGCATCCCCAGAGGTCCAGTGAATGCTGGGCTCCCGGGAGAGGCAGCGCGCTGCCTTCACGGGTCCAAATGCGGCTGTTGCTCCCGTTCTCTATCTCCTTAAAAACTCGACTTTATTCCCGCAGGTCCACGAATCTTCCTCCCAGGGCTCACAGCCTTCGCCGGCCGCCAGCTCCGGCTACGAGTCCTCCACGCCGCCCACCATCGTGTCTCCCTCCACAGACAACCCCACCACCAGTTCCCTGTCGCCCTCCTCCTCCGCGGTCCACCACACAGCCGGTCACAGCGCGCTTTCCTCTAATTTTAATGAATGGTACGTTTAAAATCAGAAGCAAAACACCGATCAAAACCCTATTTAAGAGACTGAACACACACGTACGCAAAATATAACTGAAAGATCCCTGCGAATCAACACAGCTACCCCACTCCACAATTCTATTTTTTTGAACTTGCTTGTAGACCCAGGTCCGAGTAAGAGCGAGAGAAAGCACCAAACCTTTCGTTATCCAACCCCCCCCCCCCCCGCCTTTTTCTTTTTCTTTTTTGGCAAAGGCTTGGTAGAGAAGGGGCTGGATGGGGGTCGAGGACCAGGCTACGTCTGACCAAATGCTGACAACCCGGGGGGCCAGTTTCTCGACAGAATTAGAACAGGCTGTCTGGGCTTCGGCTTGGTTTTTTGTTTTTGTTTTTTTTTAGTTTGTTTTTTTTTTTAGCTTTGCATTCTTGTAAATACAGAATTATTAGCTTAAAATTGTACGTTGGATTCTGTAAATAGTTATATCTCGGGTTTGAGCGGGCGGGTGGGATCGTGGCGTTGTGGTCTTTGCATTGGGTCGGGGAGGGGCCGGGAGGGCGGGGGGAGGGTGGGAAGGAGGGGGAGGGGTGGGTGGCGAAAGCCAACTGTTTGTACTGAATGGCAAGAATGTTCTAGTAAATGTGTACCAAAATGTGAATTTGTACGATTACAGTCTCCACGTCGACCTAAAAGAATATTATTGGTATTGATGTGTGTGTGTGTGTGTGTAGTTTTTTTTTAATTTTTTTATTTTGCTATAAAGTGCAAACATTTCGACCCAAAGTCTAAGTACTTAAGTGCAGTAAAATGTTGTTTCACGTCCTGTCAAGAATTCGTATAGTAGGAGCCTGGATCTGCGTGTCAAAACTGGCCCATTTGTTTATGTAAAGTGATATTTAAAAAGATATAAACTATAACTGTCAGTTGCTTTTAGCAAAAAAATACAACCATGTAATGTATATAATTCCTAGTTTCCATATTTACCATATTTACCCGCATGTAAAGGGCCAGATTATTCATGTTACAGCTATTCAATATTTATGGCTAGAAGAACTCGTTATGTACACTTTAGTTTCCAGAACTGTTTGGTAATTTTTCGTACCTTATTAAAGATTCTTAAATCTCAGTGATTGTAGTAGGAATTTCTTCTTTATCCTCGCCCTCACCCCAGCAACCTGCAGCCTCTTTTGCCACTCTTAGCGGTTCTTGGGAAAAGCTCTCTGGTCTCCCTTGCCTTCCCTTTCTGTCATTGCAGGTTGTATAAACGTGATAAATGAATGCTACCCTGCTGGCTCTCTGAGAGGGTGTAATTAGTATTTATATCAAAATTTATGAAACAAATTTCAGGCCGCAGTATAATTTAAATGACCTTTGCAGATGTAGAATAACAACCATAAAAATAACAGAAATAGATTGCACAAGTGACATCAATATTAATGTAGACGAATTGTCAGAAGCTCAGTGCTCACAGCATTGCAAGTGAACTTGCAGCCAAAGGTTCCACTGCCCCAAAATTAAATTCCCCAGGCTGAAACCAAGTTGCAGATTTACAATATCATATTTTAAACTGCCATCTTCAATTAAACCATTTATGGTTATAACTAATTTTCAGGATGCCAATGCATGCTTTCCAGGCCTTACTTCTTTGTACAAAAGTAAATGTCCGTAAAATGTTTTACTTATATTTCTTTAAACATGATGCTAATTTAAATTAATTACTTCCTATGATATGTTATTATCACTATAATTTTACTACTATTATTAGTTCTCTCAAAAATATATGTAGGAAAGAGACTTATTTTATGTAATCTTATTATCTTTCTATCTTTTATTTATTTCTCATTTACTTAAGAAATTCGTTCCATTGGTTGGCGTTGATACAGTAAATTTGTAAATGAGGAGACAATATAAAAAATCTAAATTACTTGTGCTTAATGACTGTAGCGGAACGCCTTTTCTCTAAATCAGATTGTCTTTCTTGCAGTTTAGTTTGATAGATTTGCAAGCTACACTGCTCCCTCCAAGTTAGCTGCCCTGGTAGGAATTCGAGATTCTTTGTCTCTGGTTGTAGCTTGCATGATCGCTCCATTAAGTAGACAACGTAGCTGGAGATTACAAATCAGGGCCTTGGCTGTAGTTGCAAGGGTATAGATTTGTTCAAGCAGGAGGCAGAGACTGACCTCACTATGGGCAAGGAGGAACCTTGATCTGCTTCATTAATATACTATGTGAGTTCAGGAAATGACTGAGAAAAAACAAGTGGAAAAACCCCTCTAAAGTATGACAACCCCTTAAGATCCTCAAATCTATTTAAAAGTGACAATTTTTCAGAGTATACAAAATCGAAATGTTAAATTCTCTTTAAAGAAATGTTGACTTGTTCTTTCATCTTTTGCTATTTGTATTTGTCACTTTTAGTCAACAAAGTTTTACTGGCTCAGGGCATTTGGTAAACTTTCTGTATTTAACACATCAAAACCTGGAAATGGTGGTGTTTAACTTTTAAAAGCATGTTATTGTGATTACAAGAGCAAATATCTACCATTTATGAAGAATGCCACTTTGCAAGATTTAAGGAAATTGAACACTAAACAGGAATTGCTGCTGACTTCAAAAATTTGTGAGACCAAAACTGTCTCCAATTAGCTTTGGAGGTTTGAAATTTATTAACAGTGTAGCATTTGGAGGAATTAAATATAGCTCACTTCTCTAGGAAAGAAAGATAAACATCTCAATTAATAATACTTCCTTTTCCCATTAGAGATCAGAATGTGTGAGAACATGATATGAGTATGATAATAATAATCAAAACAACAATAGTACTTTTGTAACTTTGTTGGTGCATTTAGGAAGATAATAAGTGAATGCATTTTTTCTAAATGCAGTTATTTTCAAATTTGAAAATATGAATGTCTCATTTGTTATGTACCTGGTGCCCTTTTTATTTTAATACCATGGTATAATAATTAAATGTCATCCTATGATACATGATTTAAGTAAGTTATTTTAAAGATAAATTTAGGGGTAAATAAATATGTACTTCAAAAATACGTCATATTTTAAACATATTTTTTAGACTTTGAAGGCCAAATAATTTTTTAAAAGGCATTTGAGAAGAGGGGGGTGTGTGTGTGTGTGTGTGTGTGTGTGTGTGTGTGTGTGAATAATCTCACATTAAAGGAACTTTTATAGTAGAAGTCAATATTTATGCCAAACTGCCTTATGCATTCTTTTCTGTAACACCCACCACAAAGAAAAAGTCATTAATGATGTAGGTTGCCTAAAATAATGCTTCAAACTTAAATGTAGTCTATTATTTTTGCTGGTACCTTTAATGTCTGCTTCTTGAGATGTATTTTTCATACTTTTCTTCATGGGCTATTAGATTCTGAAATACATGAATGTGAACAGCAAAATATAGTTAGACCCTATTTAGCTGGAGCTGAAGATGCTGCAAATGACTGGTTTCTGTGTATAGCTGTGTATTTTGATTTAGGCAGAAAGCCATCCTGGTTCATATTTCGACTGCATTGTTTTCTGGATACTGTCTAATGATTAGAGTACCTGACAAGTTATTAAAAAGTTATATTGTGTCAACAAAAAAATGCCTGAGTATAAGCAATCATATTTGAGAACTGAAGAGAAATGAGTTGTGGTGTGTGTGTATATTTATAGAGTAAGCATATAAATATACAAGCACCATTTGTATGAGGGCTAAGTGATTTTCAAACATTTCAGACCCTTTGTTTTCTTCTTCAAAAGGTACCCCCAACTGCTTTAAGCATTTGCAGCTGATGATTTTGATTTTTTAAAGTCAAGCATTCAAGTTAACCTTTAAGAAGCAAACCACCTCCAAAAGAAAGATGTAACCTTTCAATTGCCCCATATGCTTATCCTTTTTTTTTTCTTTCTTCAACTGACAATGAAATAGCACTAACCTTCTTTGCTGATGGGTTTGGCCTTTAGATGTTTTTATTTATTTGTTGATTTTGATGTTTTCTCAGGACCTTTAAACAGCTGGCAACAGAATTATACTCCCCAAATACCTTTCCCAGCCCAGAAACCTTCTAGATGTTTCCTTTTGAGGCCAAGATGTATTCAGTGTCCTGGACCCCTTGTGAATCAGTGCTGGTAGAGTTGGTACCTGAGCACACTGCCTTCCAGGAAGTAGCTTAGAGAAGGCCCTGGTCCTTAAAAAGCAGCATCTGTTTATGATGGTTTGGGAAGTAACTGTATGTGGTCTGACAAACTCAAAATGAAGACACTGATTATCTGTAAAATAAATATAAAACCATCAGATTTTAGAAATTTCATATATATATATATATATATATATATATATATATATATATATATATATATATATATATATATATATATATTCCAACTCAAAATGCTGGTTAGAAATTTATCTTCTCTCTATATACAGAGTTCTTGGCTACTCCTAGCATCAAATGTAGGTCTTAGAGCTATGTATTCAAATTAGGTGGGGAGAGTGTTGTTTTCATAAAGATGGCCACAGCTGATATTCTTTGGTTTTAGAATTCCTGGAAATAGAGTGGCAATGGAAAGATATATCCCTTCTATGCTCATCCAGTCATTAAAAGTTCACATTATTTATGGTGTTCTTTATCAGCTTTTACCACGCATCTCACCCTCAGTAATATGTACCCATTTAAACTGGTTAGATACAGAGAGTAAGACTTTATCAATGTTTTCAAATGAGATTCTCTAATTTGGGACAAGAAATAAGAAACATGTCAACTTCCTATAACACATCTCAGTTGAGTCTTTTCCTCAAAGTTTATTGCAAATACAATGGCATAATATACGCGAAATATGGGCAATGTTCTCCATTAATGTGTGCAAGGCCAGTTTGCTCCAGAGTCTCTGCCTGAGCAAGAGGAAACATGAGGAAGCTAAACAAGGACTATTTTTACCATGCATGCTGAATCCTGGCATTAGTTCCTAACATTTATTTCCACTTTAGAGCAAGGAGCTAAAATAATATGAATTTCCAATTGATGCTATACTGGAGGTGAATTTTTAAAGAATAAGAAATCAGATTTATCAATCTAGTATGAAATTTAGATTGGCAGTGAAGTTGCTAGAGACTTAAAACTGTCAAAAATATTTTGGCTGCCTCTGATGGTTTGTGGGGCATCTTTGTAAGTATATGCCAGAGAATTCACAGGCTGTGAAACTTACACAGTGACATTTTCACCTATAGCATACATAACAATCAACTATTAAGTGTGAATATAAACATATGGAAATCATATCTTTAAAAAAAACCCCAAAATATATATAAAACACATTTGTCTTTTGTGTAACAATTCCCATTAAGCTACAGAAAACATAGGACCTAACTAGGGTGAGAGAAGCTCACAACGGATTCTTTTTAAAACTTTTTTGTTTTTCCGGGAAAACACTAGCCTCTGGGAAAGAAAACTAAAAGTTGTGGAGGAAGAGTGTGGTGAGGGGAA